CATCAACCAACACTTACCATCGTTACCAACACTTTGAGCTCTGAAGATGATCTCAATAAAGATCGAAACGTTGGCACGATAAAGAAAATGTTTTTCTAAAACCTACGTCACACCAGACCGTATCCCACGATCTCCGAATTACCAATTTTGAATATCGGGTTGTGTTGTATTCATTATTTTAACAAAAGTAATTTTTTTAATCAATTTCAATTTTAATGTGACCAAGAACTCACGACTACATAATAAACATATAATTTATCTATAAATTCAAGATAACGTTAAAATAAAAACGGATAATTGAAAAGAAATTTAGTGGATTAAAAGAAAATCCGATATTATAGCCTTGTAAATTATTACTTTATTTATTAACTCGTGAAAATATTTGGCTTGAAATTGAAAACTCTGATAAAACTTCATCGTCGTGGTTAAACGATTTTTAAAGCTTCTCCCTTTTTTTTAATAAACCCTCAAAAGAGGATCGTGCCACGTTCCCCTGTAATTTGAGAGGAATAGATTTTCTGGCATTCTCTTCAGAAAATTGACGATTTTCATTTCGCTCTCGGTGTTCGTGACAGTGAAAACTTCGCCTCCCATTACAGGCGTGACAGAAATTAGATTGGGACCGCCGACTGGTAAACAATAGCCTGGAACAAAAACGCAGGGCTATTAGCAACTGCAAAGGGAACGCTCTGCAAAAGGCCTAATGCCTCCAGATAAGGGAATGATAAAAGGGGAACTGGAAAGGGATCTGCCCTCATGGGTGGAGAATTTATTGCTTGAAAGCACTTGTGTGATTAAAATCACCGATTACTAAGCCCGCTCAAAAGGCTGAAAGATTTCGCGAAATATTTGATTGAAAAGAAAAACGTATATAAAACAGTAATGAAATTTTATTTAATAAATCATGTGAAGGATTTTTTTATTTATATTCTACATTTTTCCTCTCGTTTTAATTTGTCGATTGGAATAAAACTGAGTTTCTTTATATTATTATATAAGATTCATTTTTACGAAAATACTCATATTTAAATTAAAAAATTGGTATCGTTAATAATTTTTAAAGCCAAATACATTTTGATTAGAAGAACAAGAAAATTGTTTATAATTTCGCTCCGAACCTTACAAGGGTGTGTCATGGATTTGGACCAAACTTTGATATTACACTCCAAAATATCGGACATGTACCCGCCATTTCTTGTGTATAAGCCCTGGTTTCGTTAAAAAAAAAAAAAAAAAAAAAAAAAAAAAACAATTGAAATTTTCCGTTTTTTAATATTTTTATTTCACCGTTCTTACTCAATCAACTATATGAATACATCATTTTACAGTATTTTATTTCCATTGAAATAAGAATATAATAAAAGCTATCAAAGTTTATCAATAACCAAAAAAATTCTAAAAACCAAATATTTTTCGAGGAAATTAGGTCATAAAAATATTTTTTCGTGAAACTAATAAATTTCGTTTTAACAACTGTATAGACCCCTGAGTAAAACTTTCTGTTTAAATTTATAGATTTTTTAATGATTGAAACGGAAATAATAGTCCGATTTTAATGTTAGATAAAGTTATAAAATGCACTTGACAAATTCTTTGAAACGAATTATTTTCCAAACTTTTTTGGTGATACTACATTCCAAAATATCGGACATGTATCCGCCAATTCTTGTGAATAAGCCCTGGTTTCGAAAAAAAAAAAAAAATGAAAATTGAAATTTTCCGTTTTCTAATATGTTTATTTCGCCGCTTACTCAAATAAACCAGGTGAATATATCATTTTATAGCATTTTTTATTTACATTGCAATAAGAATATAGTCAAAGTTATCAAAAATTATCAATAACCAAAAAATTCTAAAAACCAAATATTTTTCGAGTAAACTAGGTCATAAAAATATTTTTTCGTGAAACTAATATGAAATTTCGTTTTAACAACTATAGATCCCTGAATAAAAATTTCTGTTTAAATTTATCTTTGTTTCAATGATTGAAAAGGAAATAATAGTCCGATTTTAATTTTTGAAAACTTATAAAATGCACTTGACAATTTCTTTGAAACGAATTACCAACCATGAAAATCGATCTCCTAGCTATTGAGAAAAATGATGAAAAATTTGCACTAGGAATCGCGTCAAGGTCAATCGCGCAAGTGTCGAAATTATCAGTCAAAAAATTAATTTAAGCAGCATAACGCTACTAAGCTCCTCCTAGTTTTATCATTTAACCTTTTAATTTCTAAAGACAATTTAAATAGATTTTTCATGCTACATTCAAGTCTTCTTCTACAGTTCTCATTGTTTTAGCATGTTTACCTTGTTTAAATTATTATAATTCATCTTTTGTTATGTGTTGTATTTTGATACTATAGTATATATATTTTATTTAAGGGCTGAGAAACATCTAGTAGTCCAAGAGCATGAAGCAGATTTTTTTAAGTGTGTGCCTCACTGATTCTCCCATATTTTTTCTCCTGTTTTCTCCTTGCTAACCTCTTGTTCTTCCTAAGTTTTTCAAAATTTAGAATAAACAAAATCCATTAAAATATATTAAACATATCATGTATTAATAATTTCATATTAGTTTTTGATGGTGTAGCCGAAATGTTTGTTGCCTTGTTATCTCACAATTGCATAAGTACATCGGAAAACTCAACAAATAAGTCAAAACTAACTGTATCTAACTCTTTCCCATTTGGCGGAATACGACTCTACACCTTTGGTGAGATGGGAGAAGTTGTAATTCAAACGGGCAAGGGAGATGGCGAACAAGAGCTGAATAACTTGTCAAACTTATATTAGACTTAGGGGGTAAATCAGAAATCGCAGTGAACAGGAATGAAACATATCAAAATTGAGTTGTCCACTACTGTGAGTTATTCATCCAAATAACATAATTAGTGTTTGATATAAATCAACACTAAAACAATATTTTAATAAAAGATTTTTAATTTTGGAAGAAATAGAGAGTGGTTGTGCCCAAAGGGTGTGTCAAATTTCTACAAGTACTAATATGTAGATATGACAAATAAAAATTGTATAGAGAAAGAAATATGCAAAATAATCCAGTACACATAAGGTATATGAAAATTATTATTTCAAAAGTTGGTGAAGCAAATAGCTGATGAATATAATAATGATATATCTGTATTGCGTTGGTTTAGCCTGTCCACAACTGAAACTATGCAGAACAACCACTGACATTGTGAAATGCATCTGACAGGCAAAACCAACAAGAAAGGCCAGACCAGGATGTTCAGAGACAAACTACATAAATAACGATGGTTTGTATTTTGTATTATAAAACCATTTTAGACTGTTTATCAAAAAAGTTGTTTCGTTCACAAGGTGTTAGATAAATAAACAGGGCTTATACTTTATATTTTTATTGTTTTTATAATTAGGTAAATAATACATATCACATGGAATTAATTTTATTACTAATGTGTTTACAGCTCTTTTCTTTTACAATTTTATTTTTATTTTTTGGGTTGTTTAAAAGTTACATTGTTGTACTTGCTTGATAAATTTGATGTAGGCTCAATAATATAAAATAAAATACTTCTCTTTAACACAATTATTGAGAAAATGAATTATTTGTTGTATATGTCAATACATTTGTACATTTTTATAGCTAACTTATTCATTCTGGTAAAATATTCATTTTTTAACATATATATTTCTTTAGCATAAGAATATTCAGAATGCTATTTACTAAAATATTACTGGTGTTGTTATAAAAATAAATTTATAATGTCTTTATTTGTGGTTTCTAGTCTCATTTAGTTGATCCATTGTGATTGATAAAATTTTGTTTATATAGAACAAAACATATACACAGTATAAAAAAATATTTTTATTTTAAATAATACATCAACCATAAAATTCCTTGTGACCTTTCCCAAAATATTTAACTTTCTGTGATTAAAAGGTACTTTATGAAATTCAAGTACAGGTACAAAATATCCAGTCTTTTTTTTTCAGTTACCAGATGATTATTTTTGGATAAGACCAATTTACAAAACTATTGAGATAATTAATTTATTATTGTATTTGGCTGTGTTTTACAAATTTTTTTTCAACTTCAAGTTGTAAAACTACGAAACTAGCTTATGACAACATAGAGGATCTGACTAATCTACATGGCAAAAAAATAATACATGTATGTATTATTTATGGTCCAATAAACATCAAGCGGTCATCACCAACCTGCTGCGCTTTAAACAAAGATTTCTTTTTTTTTAGCGCATCCTTGTCTCTTACTCTCATATTTTGTCTTGTTTACTTTGCTTGCTAACCTCTCAAAGGTACTTCAGGATATCAAATTGCGATTAAGAGAATAAAAAAATAAACACATAACACAAAGATTTTCACGCTTCCCCCCACTTCCAAGGGATGGGAGCTCCTCTGAAACACCGAGACAGTGTGTGGTGAAACCCCCAGCAGCACCCTGGTGAGGAGGTGTCAGACAATACACCTGAAATACCACTGAAAACAGGCCATGTGCCCATGGCGAGATAGCCGGAAGCACAATAATACATATACATTTAATTTCAATCAAACGTAGAGGACTAGAATCGATGTCGTAAACTAATTTTCTAAATGAACACTACATTTGAACACGTATACTCTTAGTGGATTAACCTAATCTAACACAGCGAGAGAGAGAGTTCTAAACCCTGTTGTAATTCACTACTATCACTACGAGAAGGCAAAGCATGCCCGCTAAGTGTACTTTCACGCACAACCATTAACTACAATGATAGGTCAATGTCTGTGTATCTGCTATGTTCTCAATTGACATTTAGTGCATACTATTGATATTGTTTCCAATGAAAAAGAAATAGTGCCTGTAAAAATTAAAGAACAGAAAAGTAAAAGAAATTGTTGAAAAATACTGAGATTTATTTTACGTGGCGTTTCTTTTTTTAAAGATACTCCAAGGGAAAAAGATTTTTCAAAAAATCCAAAGAAAAGTAGATAGGAGAAAAAATAATTAGACAGTATAATAAGACAAAATAAGTAAAATTTATTTAAAAAAGAATTGAACAAAAAAAATAAAATAAAATCTTAAGGCACTGTAATGATATAATAGGGTGTTATGTAAAAATAAAGAATTATTAAAAATAATCAACAAGTTTAGCGATATTTTTGGAGTTAAATATTTCGATCCAATAGCCATCTGGGTCTTTTATAAAAGCGAGCCCCTTCATTTTTCCTGTAAAAAATAATAAAAACTTTTTTTAATGTGTAGTATTTAGTAACTGTTAATTAATGATTATTTAGAGGTCATGAGATGCCGTCTGGTGTGATGTAGGTATAAATCCCAGGCCCTGAAGATAATCTCAATAAATATCGAAACAACAAGAAAATGTTTTTCTAAACCTACATCACACCAGACTGCATCTCACGACCTCTAAATAACTTTTTTAACAATTTATTTGTAGCCTGTACTACATGTACTAATGTAATACATATTACAAAATGTATGCATAAATGACATCACTGACAATATGGCCACAGTGCAAATAGATGACACATGTTATGAGAAACCAGCCAATGTTGGCACCCAACATGAGAGATTAAGCGATGAGGAGGTCTCAATGTAATCGTCTATCTCATGATGGAAACATAGGAAGTAGGGTTAGGAAGGATCAAGAGCTTGATATGGAACTTTTGGAAGCAGGATCGGATCAGTTCATTCATTGATTTAATTGAATTAATTGAAAGAAGTTATTTGGTCAATCGGACCACAAAATATAATGGATTTAAAAAGGTAAAATGAAGTATATTACTACTATTTACTAAAGCTCTCCATGGTCATTTCATTTGTCGACAACAATCGAATCCTGATTACACATTTGAAAAATGGCAAAAAGGAGGGAAATTAGCATTAAATATGAAATATTAAGGTGCAAGAGAAGGCGCCAAGGCTATCATCATTTGATTTGTGGCAGGTTCTCAGCTAGCTTGGAAGCTTTTCAAAGGATTGGAAGGTTTGATTAATCCATTGTCAAAATAAATATTGACATTGTTGTGGATAGTGAGGTTAGGGATGAAGTAAGGGATTTGATAATTTGATTGAGGACTTTTGGTTGGATGGCTTGGCAGAACCCCACTGTTCAACTATGTATGTCCAGAGTGGTAGCTGTAATGTCTTGTATTCGATAGTCTTCTTAGGCTACTGTTAAACTTTTATCTATTAAGCCTTATGTGGAGATTCCCCGTAAATCTGGTATCTTGGTACAATCTTAACTATTTGACTTGAGTCAGTAGCTACTTGTTGTTGATGAGCAGTCACATTGTGAACATTTTTCCTCATTCAGTCTGATCATCTACTTTTGCACCAGTCTTTGATAAGCTCAAGGTGTTCTTGGATGTTAGCGGTTGCTTGGATAAGATTCGGGTTAGAAGGTTAAATTACAGTATAATCTGCGTATGTGGTAATTATTGGGATATTTAGGAAAGTCAGCAGTATAAATGGGATGGTGCGCAGGATGGGGCCGAGAATGCTCCCTTGTCAGACACAGATTTGCATTGGTCTGATATATGAGATACAGCCAAACCTCAGCAGTTAAATAGGACTTCATGCAAGGATGTCTCGGGGTAAGCTAAGGGTTGTTTGTTTCACTCCGTGTAAATGCATTTGTCTCAAGTATAAGAATGAACAGTAATAATTCAACTTAGTCATATGTATCATAGCTACCGTTTTTTGTGGGATGCTAAAGATAAAAAACATTAGAACAAAAAGACTCGCTGTGATAGCAAATTCAGATGCAGCAGTTGGTGAAGGTTATAAACGGCATGCTTGTCTCGCACAAACTGATGGCTCATCTTGTTTCGCCTTTAGGTTGCGAAATGTTTCACCTCGTGGAAATGGTTAACCCCAGATGGCATTTTGTAAGTAATTATCATATTTAGTTGCTCGAGTGATTTTTTCCCACAGTGGAAATCCAGCTTAAGAGTGAGTAGGATTTTATATTGTGACTAAATATACTATTTTTAAGTATAGAATCCAGGGGATTTTCTACTTGGATATTTGTGCATGTAGTGCTTAACTTCAGAAGAATGGATAGGTTTGAGAGGGAAATAAGGTAGAAGTGGTATAAATAAAAACTTATTCAAGAAATCTAAATTTAAAAATATAAATGCACTTGAACAAACAAAAAGTTATTATAGATTATTATCTTTGGTTTACCTTCTTGTGGTTTTTTAACAAATTCGACTCCCAACTTCTGAAATCTGTCGCAAGCTGCATCAACGTCGGGGACATGAATTCCAATATGGCCTTGGAGATTAAAAAAAAATTGAATGATAGTGCAAATATATACAAAATAAACACAATTATGCATGTAATTTGGTCGTTACTTGTCATTTGGACTGAATGAATCAGTAACAACAAAATTACACATCTATCACCCCGAAAACATTAAGGAGAAATCTCACTAAAAGACGCAGTATTAACAACAATCTGAAGGGAAAAAAAGCAATATGCACCTGTAGTCAAGAAATATATGTAAAATTGTGTAAAAAAAAATTTGCAAGAAGGAACTCACCAAATCCACGTGGCTCTGCGTTACCATTGTGATATGACAAATTATCATCATCTTCAGTTCCCCAGTTACTGTGAAAAGAAACTATTAACAGAAACAGTATAGCGGCTCCTTTAAAACATAAAATATAGGTGTTACAAACAATGAAACAAATAAAAACTTAACAAATCCTGGGAAAACTTAGCCCTCTTAAAGAAAGGAAAAGAAATGCCTACTTTAGTACAAATATTCAGAGCATATGCACCATCTGCTGAAGAGGTGAAAGGTTTTTTTTTAACGATAGTATTTCAACTATGAGGTTTTTTTTTTTTAAAAAAAAGCTCATTTGTACTTTTTACAGAAGTGTGTGGTGATTAGTGACCGTTAGTCAATGATTATTCAGAAATCATGAGATGTGACCTGGTTTGACGTAGGTTTAGAAAAACATTTTCTTTATCGTGTCAACGTTTCAATCTTTATTGAGATCATCTTCAGGGCTCAAAGTGTTTTCTGCATACCTGAAGATGATCTCAATAAAGATCGAAACATTGGCACGATAAAGGAAATGTTTTTCTGAAACCTACATCACACCAGACCGCATCTCATGATTTCCAAATAATCAGTTTTTACAGAGTGGAATTGGTCTAGAATTTTTAATCTGCAGTATTACATGTGAGCAATTCATACATTATGTATTTTAGATGGCATATTCAGGTACTTTGTATTGTGCAATAAACTTTTTTAATTTATTTATTATTTAAATCTAATTGTTTAATTATCCAGTGAACTATTATGTAACTATCCTGTGGCTGTTTATACTTTATGATACATGAAAAACCGGAATCCGGTTCTCATTGACTTTCAGGTGCCCACTCCTGGTCATGTATCACTTGTAGCGCATATAAATAAAGAACTTTTCCTTTCTTAATATCGAAAAAGACTAATTTTATTTTAATCAATACTCGATATATAGAACTACTGGGCAAACAGAAATGAGGAGAATCATTTGAATCCCACACATTTTACTTGAATTTTATTCTGTGCTTATCCAGGTACCTATACTGTAGCGAACCACCTGTAGTTCTGCTTTAAATTGCCAAATATAGTGCAAAACAGGTAAAGGTACTTTGTATTGTATCAACCAATAGTTTAATAACAAAATAGACATTATGAGGCTTACTGAGTCAATTCCAAAGTAGCTTTCCTCGACAGTGCCCATTGAGTCCTTTCGGTATTGTCTGACGGCACCTCAGACTGGTCTTCATACCCGACAAAATAAAGCGTGAACTTCATAGGCTCAACGTCTATCTTTGTCAACAGTGTCATGCCAAGTACGTCGGTGTAGAAAGGAAGGGACTTTTTAGGATCCTTAATCCTGTACATGGTCTGCTGCATTAAGTAATCCTGAAAATGGTGGAAATATGTCAAAAACGATTGCTCTTTCTTTGAACAATCAATTTGTTTTTTTCATTACCTTTGTCGCCGGATCGGGCTTGGAGCAATCGGCCATGGTATTTAGTATCTTTTTAATTATATCCTTTAAATTTCAAAGAGGAAAGACTCAAACAACAACTGAAAATTGATAAGTTGATACCACTTAAATTTTACAATCTGCTTGGTGGGATTCCCGATAGGGGTCAACGGCCTTATCACCATAATCCCACCAATTTTCAACTTCAAAATTGTCTCGATCAAGTCATTTTTGTCTGCAATTTCAACCTAGAAAGATAAAATTCCTTTCAGGACGATTGCCTGGATCACTTTTCAATGTGGAAGATGGCTGCATGGATCCTATGATTAATAACAATTGGAAAGACATTTATTAACAAAAAATGACAAATAATTTCCCCCTGTTCTGATTTTAGAAGGAAACAGGGTTGTTTGTACAATACATATAATACTGATATATGTATTGAGTGCCTCTTAGTGTGTTTTGAGATTGAATGTATTTATTGTCGCGAATTTTCAGTGTGTGAGGTCCATTGGCAGAATATTGAGTACTCCAGCCCCTCAATAAGGTTAGTTATAGTGAGGAGGGTGTTGGAGGAGTGTCAAATACTCCACTACGCTGACGGAGTGGATGGTAGGTAAACTGGATGAAGATAACTTGGAAGTGGGGTTTTTCTTCCCCAGCCTTTTTGCTTATTGTACTTTCCTAGTTCCCTAGTTCAATGCAATTGACAAACCTTCATACTTCACCTACTAGATAATTGATGTATTGCTACAATTCCTTTCTGTGAGTTTTCTCTGTATCTCAGGTTATGTCTGCATTGAGCGGTTTTGACTCGAAGATGATATGAGTGGCTCTTTCTTCCTCTTTATGAATCTACAAATGACAATTGAATATACCCCATGTGGTGTAGATGTTTTCTCAGATGCCAATGGCTGGTATATAATGCTATAACTCCTCTAAGTTTAGCACTCTCTAACTAGCAGTGAGTTTGCCAGTTTTGGCGAGGGTTGTTTTAGCATAACCTTACTCCATCTAGCACCACTAGAGTCCTAGGAGGACAAACTCAGAGGAATGGTAGGATTACTAACCGGTCACTGGCATCTGAGAAAACATCTACACAACATGGGTATATACAACGATGATCCCATTTGCAGATTATGTAATGAGGAGGAGGAAACAGCCACTCGTATCATCTTCGAATGTGAAGCAACAGCTCAATGGAGATTTCACCTAATATAAAAAAAAAAAACTTAGGGAATCAAATTGCAGCAGCGACAGTCAATGACCTGATACTTCTGAGGAGAAGGATTGAGTCTATTGCACTGAACTAAGGAACTAGGAAGGTACAATAAGCCAGAAGGGGAGCGCAAACCCCCACTTCCTAGTATCCTTTTTACCATACCATACCACTAGAGTTTATCTAATTCTTCTTTTGTCTTGTTTGAATCAATTCTGTGATGGAGGATTTTGTGTTTGTTTTTGTTATCCCAAGAATAGGTTCAGGCCCTATATAAGGCCTTTCAGATCCTCCTCTGACCAGTGGGTCTGCCTTTTCATTACCCCAAATTCTCTTGTGTCATTGTACCCAACATGTCATCAGGTTGTTGTTTCTTCTGGTTATGGAAATTTTCAATGTATTCACTGTCTAATTTTGATGTGATATTTTTTTCATGCTAATGTTTGGCTGCACAAACATTGATGGTATGCATTTCAGCTTGAAAGGCCCCCCCCCTTCACTAATGCTTCGATTGTTCATGTTTTGAACTTGTACAGAAAACGGCTGGTCCAGTTCCTTTCTTTGTTTTGGAGCCATCTGTATACTATATCATTGTATCTGATTTCCTCCCGAAAACTTCTTCCCCTTTGTAGTCTGTAAACCATTGTAAGTGTAAAGGGTTTGCACGCCAAATATTTTTTAAAAATTGTGAATTGTTATTTTTCCATAATTTTGTTTTAATTATTTTAAACAGTCTGTCAGGTGTATCCCCAGGGTGCTTGTGAAAAACAGCCAATTTGTAAGTATGTCGGTTTTGAATGCAGGGCCATGTGTCTTTGATAACTGACATTTTTTCTGAATCTTTGTTAGTTTTCAACTCTAGAATTTTACTCCAGATATAATAATAAGTAATGCTAGCCCGCACGACCCGGGTATCCTGATCAGCCTGGAAGATCTGAAAAGAAAAATGAGAAATTTAATCTACAATGAATGGCAGGCCCGCTGGAAAGAGATGAACGAAAAATTAAAAGTGCATAAAGAAACGGTGAGGCCATGGCCTGTGGAGAACTTAAAGAAACGAGACAAAACAATATTAACAAGGTTGAGGATAGGCCACACCCGTCTCACGCACGGCCATCTCACCATTACTTGGTGGGGAGAAGATGCAATAGGTTAAGAGTATACCGAGAAAGGCGCGACCTACCCTATGACCAATGAGCAATCTAAAACATAATAGTGACCACATAAAGAAATTATTTAGATATCTGAAAGCAGTGAACGCATATCAATTAATTTGATCCACCCCTTAGTAGAACTTTGGATTTCGTATGTATGTATTTATTGGCGAGGATGCTGCAGTGAATGTTATGAGTAAGAACGTTGTTTTTAACTGTACATAGTGAATGTGTGTAGTGGATGAGCGTATTTATTAGAGTGAATGTATTTATTAGCAAGGATGGAATGTATGTTTATATGTTTAAACAGGTGTGTATAAATGAGGTCGGGGCGTCATCGGAATGCGCTGTACCATGACTGTCCGCCAAATGTTAGTTTAGGATTAGTAAAGGGTGTATGTTGTTATGAGTGAGGACAGGTTCTGACGGAATATCGAGTACCTCGGTAACCTATCAATATGTGTGAAAGGTGTTCTTTTAATTGAGGGAAATTAACAGTTTATAAGGGGGCGGGTGATGAGTAACGAACAGAGTGGGGCATCAAATACCATAATCAAAAATGCGAGAATTGTTAATATGCCTGGTAATGGCCATAGCTGACTGGCGGGGGGGGGGGAAGTAATGAATATTATATACAAATGTTTGATGATGTATCACATTTATGATAATTTGTTTGATATGTATGACTGCTCGGTATTGGGATGTTTGGGCTATCATGTATAAAATAAAATATTTTAAAAAAATTCCTACTCATACTACAAAAGAAAGGTGTGCAGGTATATTAAGTAGAAAAGAAAATATACGTGTTCTGGATGATATGTGCTGGGGGAACAAAAATGCTCTAACTGCAAAGTGCTGTTGCAGAAAACAACACTGGAATCTGAGTACGAACTTATTTCGTTCTGACATCTAGATAATTTATTCCAAATTAACCTCATTAAAAAATCTCAGGCTTCATCAAGAGGTTATTACCTTCAAATAGAGATAAGTACAGAAGCCTTATATTCATTACGCTTAAAAAATAAATAATAAAATAAAATGTACTGTTTTAAAGGGGGAAAACTAATAAAACTTCAATCACATTCATCGATATATATTTATTTTCAAGGATCCCAACATTTATATACTATATCTTGCTTTGATCTACTTACAACATGTATACACACAAAAAATTACAGTGTTTCACATTTCCTTTCTCTTTACATTGTAAGTCAATCGAATCTCTGCATAATAAATATAATTAATGTACTATAATGTATTTACTGTACAATTTGAAGACCACTTTTTCTTTGTGTATAAAAATAAATTTTCAGTCCTTCAAATGTTCCCCACTGATCCATCACATGTATAAGGCAACATAGGCATCGTTTGCAAATGTACCTCCATAACAAATTAACTAACACTTCCACTTGGAGCACGCAATACAATAAATACATTTATCTTTAATGGTTGTGTACGATAAAACAATATAGGGTTTTTTTTTAATTTAATTTAGAATCTACAAAAATAACATAGGAACTAAATATTTTCAACCTATTTCACCCATGCCAGTATTCCTCTTAGTTTTGCTTATGTTGTAGTTTATCAAAAACGAGCCATTTTTTTTAATTTTTATTTGGAAGACAACTAAACTTATGTCTTTTTGAAGATTAAGCACAACGAAGTGTTTGCCATGGAGTATGAAATGCAATTAGCTCTATTAAAAAAAAAATTACTGTCATGATTAACACGCATTGTTGTTTTCAGTTTCCCTTTGGAGTGAAATTTAAAAATAATTTCCTGAGATAATACAAGGGGCACTCACATAAGTATATATGCATATATATTAACACATACATACATTTTCAATTTCATAAATTTAAAAGATATATAATAAAATTCTATTTACAACCTATATATAATATATATTTATTTTTTAATTTTCTGGTAATTATCTTACGTATTTCATGACTTAGAGGCACTCTTTGAGGATATAAAATAATTAATACTCAAGATAAAAACCAGTTTTCTTATAACATTGAAGTTCATCTTGTAAGTGTTGGCCTCTTCAGTCGACAACAATTGAACAATTTTATTGGTAGCCACAAAAAACAATCATAAGCCACTTCATAAGTACTTGTGTAAAACGTATCCAAGAAAACAAAAATTTAAAAATTAATTATTTAACTATCTCAATCATAAAATGTCATTTAAAATATAATTTCATTTGTTCTACAAGTTAAACATTAAATATTAATTCATGTGAATTATAATCGCTGATATGGAAAGCCCCATTTTACATCAATTGAACAAAACATTATATTTCCAAGGCACTTGGTGAGTTTTTCAAGTTTCAGTATCATAATAATTTATTTTCATGCAATTATTCAATAACAAATTCAAATTGTGATAATTTTAAAACTTAACATTACATTTAATCAAAATTTTAAATTTAAATTATTTGTTTTGCATTTTTTTTTATTTCAATGTTTTATTTGTGTTTGGTATCAAAACCGTTTACATTTTTAAACAACTACATGTATATAACAAAGAAATAAAATTTTTCAATTATATAACATTGGTAAATTTTCTTTATAGTTAATAAATTATACAATATTTATAAGATTATAACATAAGTGACTAAAAAAAAGAAACATAAATGAGGATAGCACAAAATTAAAATACACATAGTATTTGACTAAAAGGAAATAATCTGACTAAATCAACTCATCCAGTTGTTCTACAATCTGCGACTTATTTGCCAGCTTTTTAAAAAACACGATTTAGTATCATTGCACATGTAAAAAGAAATGAAAGAGATAACTGAGCAGTTCCTCAGTATTTAAAAAGGCCTCATAATTTACTATGGTAAGTTAGCCTTTTCTACCCTAAGCAAGGGTGGAATTATCACTAAGGCTATGAATAGCACAACATGACTATGCTGAAAATATTCTAAAATAAACTAATTTACAAAATTTATTTAGAAGAATGTCAGTGTGAAGGGTGGTCTATTTTTTGCCTTTTGCGATTATGATAGGTTTCTTTGTAATTAGCCTTTTGCTCGGGGAAATTAACTGTTTGCTCTGGTGTCATCACAATAGCTTGGAGTAATTTTCTTTTCGCTCTTGTCATTGGTCCTGCAAACGTATTGTTCATTTCGTGGAAGGTGTCTTCGGGCGTCGGATGGATTCGCTCCTCCGTGTCCATCCTGGTAGGTTCGGGGACGGGCGCTTTGAGTTTTTGCCCTGCTGGTTCGTCTGGCCGTTTCCTCTTCTTTGGCGGGAGAAGGGGAGACAGGACAAACGCCCCCGTAGAACTTTGAGTCGGGATCTCAGCGTTGTACTCGGATGAGCTGCTGGACAAACTCGAAAGATATTCTTGTACCCGCGCTTCACCAAAATTGAACACATTGTTTTCATCACTGATTTTTCCTCTCATCATCGGCTTAGTCTTTGCACTTGTAACTGATTGGCCTGAGCTAATGGGAGTTTGGAGGGATGAAAGACCTAAAACAAAAATAAAGTAAATAAGATTACAATAAAAAATTTAGAAGTATTCTGGACCAAATAAAAAAATTTGACAATTAATTAAGGTTTTTAGTTGAGATGAAAAAAAGTTAATGGCACGAGAGGGATTCGAACCCATGACCTTCGGCTAGATACGCCGCTGCTCTACCACTTGAGCTATCGTGACCTCAATCCACTCTGACATCAACTCCCCATCTCAACCCCACCTTATGAGTTTTCCTTCCTTTTGCCATTTTTCAAGTTTTTCGAGTGGATGGTCAAGCATATTGGTCAAGCAGACCACGAAAGTAGTGAATTAATAAAAAAATTTATTGATCAAATAATGTAAAAACCGCAGGGGACGACAGTGATCAAGTGTTTAGGGTGTCAGATTCGTATTTGCCATGCTTGCAGTTCTAGGTTTGAATCTTGGCAAAGCGCTTGGAATTTTAATTTGTAATAATATTTAAAACATATTGTGAAGTACCCTTTGTCAGTAATGCCAATCAGTTGGACATTAGCCCTCTGGTATCAAAATAAGGCATCTGACTTGTTCTTGTTTCACCCCACAAGTGGTTGTGGGTTTGAATCCTGACACAGCCCGTGAACATTTAATTGGTAAATAATATATAAAATGTATTATAAAGTATTCTGCCACCTCATACACAACACCCAAGAGATAGTTGGGCGTTAAACCCTCTTGTAAGATAGGAATTTTTTTACTTTTTAATTTTAAAAAATCATATAAAGTAATTAATTTATTAATTTAAAAGAGTTCATTTTTTAGTTAATTTGTATTATTGATTGTAAGTTGTAAAATAAAGTAATGTCAATTACCTGAAGAACTTGAACTGGAGAAACTGCTTGAGGTTGAGAAACTCCTGTTGTCTATGGAAGACTTCTTCAATCTCCTCCTCTGAGCGAGTTTTGCATTGAAAACATCCTAGAAAAAATATAAATATATTGAAACATCCTTCTATGTTTTTATTATTAGTGTCATTATTTCAAGAAGTAATTTCATCGCACCTGCAATCTAAAGCCTTCTCTTGTCGCTTTATGGAAAGCACTGAATGCGGATGCTACGCCATGTTCAACAGTTCTCGGTGCCGCACCAGTGAGCACGTCAGGTGTCATTAGAGGTGTCGATGCGACAGTGCATCCCTGGAGCCAGCTATTTTCTAGCAGATCGGTCATTCGCAATCTTTGATGTGGCTCAACAGTAAGCAAACCTATAAAAATATTTTTATTAGATGTCATATAAATTTGATTATATTTATTTAAAATGTATACAGTACCTTTAGTTAGATCTTTGGCCTCTTGTGAAACTGACTCCCATGCTCCAGAATTAAAGTTAAAGTCGCCTTCTTTAATCCTAGCCATTATAGCTGCAGAGCTGTCATCTCTAGATCTCGCTAAAAATGGAGCTCTTCCACTTAGCATCGTGTACTGTAAAAAATAAGTCAAAATACATATTTAGAAAATAAGTAAAATTTTCTAGGTTTATTTTAAGGTTTGTATGTTGACATTACCAATATCACACCAAGGCTCCACAGATCACAGTTCTCGTCATAACCACTAGCAGCATTGTGAAGTACTTCCGGTGCTGCATAATGAAGGGTGTAGCATGGAGTGTGAAGGGAATCACCTTCCTTTTTCAATTGAGCAAATCCAAAATCTACTACTTTAATCGTTGTTCCATCGGTGAAGAGAAGATTCTACGAGTATAAAATAATATTTTAAAAAAATCCGAAGACAAAATTAAAAAGATTTCGGTGTATGAAACAACTTCTACCTCAGGTTTAAGGTCTCTGTGAACAACTCCATGGGAATGCATGAAATGCACAGCAGATACAAGTTGTTTCATTATCTTGCTAGCTTCATTTTCAGTAAAGCGCGTCTGCCTTCTAATTCTCTGCAGCAGCTCGCCACCTTCAAGGAGCTCTAAGACGAGGTACGTATGGGCCTAAATATTTAAACAAAATTAATACCTTGCACTATAGGCTCAAAAAAAAAAAAAAAAATCATACCTCATCGTAATAAACTTGATGGAGATTCACAATATTAGGGTGCCCTTGACAAGCCCTTAGTAGGTTAATCTCTCTAGTTGAATCAACCTTTCGGCTAATAATTTTCACAGCGTATGCTTTCCCTGTCGCCCTTTCGACACATCTCCTGCATACCGAAAACGAGCCATCTCCTAGGGCACCACTTCTTTCCAGATCGACATCATACTTGTTGAAAAATTCCGAATCCTGAAAATACATAAACATGTATTAAATAATACATACTAGAATAATTTTACTAGATATTGTTAAATTGTAAAATATTATTTAAAATGTTATAATAGAATAGTTTTGTTGCAATAAAAGAAGTGGATGTGTAAAAAATTACCCCACCTAAAACCACAAATTACCTTAAAAGTTTGTGCAACAAGATTGGCGATCGTGGGCCTTCTGTCGGAGTTCGGCTTGAAAATTTCATCACTAATGACATTTTCGCTAAATAATACTGACGGAGCGACGTAGGAATAACCCTAAAAATAACAAAAAAAATTAAAATATAGATTAAACGAATTTTTTCTACGTTCGATAATAGAAGGATGGGGATATAGTCGCAACTAGGTCATAGCCAAGGTTTTTCAAACTTTTAAACTGTAATTCCATTTGCGTTATCGGGACGAAACGACGGAGGTGGACATTAATCTATTTCTTCCATTTTAAAAATATCAAGAAAAATATAACAAAAAATGGAAACATGTAACAAAGCACGCCGTTGACGTATAATACACACTCCTGGACGCGCCATATAAAACAAGAATGCTTTTATTACGTCCAAAATTTAAATATCAAATACAGAACCCCACTTTATACATGGGGAAAAACAAGACATTCTTTTTATTTAAACAGAAAATCCAGGTGTTAATATATTTATTGGCGAGGTCATTAGAATTTCCATTATAATTCAATGTTTGTCACTTGACACAAATGTGTATAAAGCCTGTGCCTTCTTTCCATTAATTTTAAATTATTATAATATTAAAGTATTAATTTACAATTTAAACTCTATAAAGGATTGAGTGGATCAGAGAAAATAAAGTCATTAATTATGTATACAATTTTTTTCTGGAATGCCTAGTTTCGATTATGTTTTTTGTTGAATATGTAATAATCGACCAGTTTTTTTATAGTAGGTTGAAAAGATGGGATGTACGGTTTAACAGAAGTAAATTGTATCAACCTTTGTGATGATATCACCTTCATAATTTTAACGCTTTTTCTCAAATGAATTACATTATACATGGGGATTTAAAAATAGGTTGTCCATGATAAAGTAAGTAGTTAACTGTTGCGAAAATTTTGGCTGATCTTAAAATTGTACTTTCAATTAGGCTTTTTATTTAAGTAAATTCATTTTACACGCTATGTTAAGTTTAAAAGATAAGCTTCTATGAGAGTTTTTGCTAAGAAATGTGTTTTATGGCTTTTTATACATTAAAATATGTTCCAAACGGGTTCTACATTGAAAAAGCAGCTTCTCCATGAGTTAATCATTGAATAAGTTGGTTCCAAGAAGGTTCTAATTATTAAAAAAAATTCTACTTGTGTATTTGTTGAAACAAAAAAAAAAGTTTGCCCTTGAAAAACTTACCTTTATGTAGCTGATTGACGAAGTAAATACGTTCTGCACGTTACAGTGTTTAAAAAGGTAAACTTCTAAGTGGGGTTTTGTTAAAAAAAAAAGAAAAAAAAGGCTTTTTATCGATTAGAATATATTCTACATTGAAAAAAAGCATTTATCATTTAATAAGTTGGTTCCAAGAAGGTTCTACATAAAAGAATGGGCATTTGTTGATAAAATGGCTGCCCATGAAAAAAGTTGCCTTTACGTAGCTATTTGTAGTAAATATGTTCTAAAGGCTCTCTGTTTGGAGAGATAAGCTTCTTTTTTAACTAGATTTTTTATTTTTTAAAAATTGCTTGTTTATGAAAAGTTTGTGTTTTGTGAGTTTTCTATTGATTAAAATATGTCATACATTGAAAAAGCTGCTTCTGCATGGGTTTATCTTTGAATAAGTTGGTTCTGAGAAGGTTTTGCCATTATAAAACGGTTCCAAGATGGGTGTTTTAAAAAAAAAAAGGTTCGGTTGTGCATAAAAAATGTGTTTTTACGTATATTTCTCTCGGCGTAAATAAGTTCTAAACGATATCTTGTTTTAAAAAAAGAAGCTTCTGCGTAAGTTTTTGTCAAAAAATTGGTTGTTCAGGTTTGTGTTTCCTGGCTTTTTTTTTTATCGATTATGATATGTTCTACAGGGGTTAAATATTGAAAAAAAGCATATACAAATAACTTGGTTCCAAGATGGTTCTACTTAAAAAAAATGGTTTCAACATGGGCATTTGTTGAAAAAATGGTTGCACTTGAAAAAGTTGTCTTTACTTAGCTATTTGCCGACATAAATATGTTCTACAGTCTATGTTTTTTGAACAGATAAGCTTCTATGGGTTTTTTGTTAAAAAATTGGTATTTCAAGAAAAGTTTGAGTTTTGTGTTGTTTTGAATGGATTAAAATACGTTCTACAATGAAAAAGCAGGGTTTTTTCTTTGAATAAGTTGGTTCTGAGAAGGTATTACCATTAAAAAACGGATTCAAGATGGGTAATTTAAAAAAATGATTTGATTGTGCGTAAAAAAGATGGTTTTACGTATATTTTTGTCCGTGTAAATAAATTCTACTCGCTATGTTGTTTAAAAAAAAAGGAAGATTCTCCGTACATTTTTGTCAAAATAATTAGTTGTTTGTGTTTCTTAGCTTTTTTATTGATTAAAATATGTTTTACATTGGTTGTGTATTGAAAAAGCAGCTTCAGCGTGATTTTATCTTTGTATAAGCTGGTTCTGAGAAGGTGTTAACATAAAAGGAATGCTTAAACATGTGCATTTTGTGTAACAAATGGATCGTTCATGAAAAACCTTAAACTTTACTTTTTTTAACACAATTTCTACGCTGAAAGTACAGCTTGCACACGAATTTATCTTTGCTCAAAAAAAGTTTCTTCACAGGGTTTTAAAGCAGACAACATTAATCAAGGATGACCATAGGCTCATCACTTCTCAGGCCATTTCAGACAGACAAATCTGTTCATTAATCCTGATTAATTTTGCTAACGTTTGAAAACGGATATTCTTTCCATGGAAAGCAAGAAATAATCCTCGGTGAAATGCTGGTCTTGCAACCGTCTCCATTAAGCAACATTTAAAATATTTAATTTTAATTTATTTTTAAAGAAAAAAATCTGTATTGGTTTTCTTTAAGATATCAATGAATACTTGAAAATTGTGTTCTAAAAATAATATCAAAAAGTACTTAAAATGATTATCGACTGATCAATATACGTTTGATTTTATAAATATAGATAGGCTAAATTTAGTTTGGCTAGAAGTTGTTTTTTTAAAGATGGCTTTGTAAGTTAAAGAGAACATTATTTGATCCGAAAAGTAAATTATTAAGTAACGGAAGTTTAAGTGTTACAGATCCGAAGCAATGATGTAATAAAATAGAGTAGATTTTTGCTGTGATGTCCAAGGTTGGTCGTTACTTTTAGAAGACCTTGGCTATAAACGCGGCCTTTGTCAATGCGTTCACGCCGAAAATACGTTTTAAAGACAATATACGAGAGGAAAAAAAACTTTTCATCGGCTATGACGGAAGTTGGTCCACCCCAGAACAAATTGTAAATAGTAAACATTTCAATGTAAGATTACAAAAAAAGGACTACTATATGAGTAAAAAAAACTTGCCTTGAATATTTTATCGAAGTTGGGAGGTATGATGGCCGGCGAGTCCGTCGGAGTCATTTTGGTGAATTCTTCGGAGAAATTCGAGACGTCCAGCTCGCCGGCGATTTTGGGAACGAAAGGCGCTGGGACGGCTTTTCTCGAGAGATCGTTCCAGTTCAAACCCTGTTTGACAGATCGGATTAGTAAAAGTAAAGTAGGGAAATTTGTGAAAAAATCACACGGGCAGAAGAATTTTCCTCACCTTGAAGAACGGGTGCCTCTTCAGCTCTTCGGCGTCGTCCGCGCCCCCACCCAGTCTTTCTCTCGGTTCCTTTACTAAAAGCTTCGTTATAAAGTCCGCCACCTCGGGCGAAAGATCTTCAGGAATGGGTGGATACGTCCTGAGAATTCTCCTGAAAAATAAAGAAAATATTAGTTTATAAAGTTTGTCCATAAATTATGAGATTTCTCTTGGGTGGTGATACATTTCCGGTCATTTTGATCTGCCTATCTTCGATGTTTGGTTTATCAGAAGTGTTTCTACTTCTGATGAACCAAAATGATCCAAAACGACCAAACTTCAACAAATTAGTTAATTACAAAAGTGTCTGAAAATTTAACCTTAAGATATTTATAATTCGGAGATCTTGAGATGCGGTCTGGTATGACGTAGGTTTTAGAAAAACTTTTTTTTATCGTGCCAACGTTTCGATCTTTATTGAGATAATCTTCAGAGCCTGGGATTTATAAACAAACATTATTTGAATTTTACAAATTCATGTAGGATGTATAAAAAACAATTATGAATTTATAAATGCTAGAAAATTTTAAATTAAAAAAGAAAGAACGAATTTATACAATGCTAAAAAATGTTAGATTAAAAAAAGAAAAATGAATTTATACAATGCTAGAAAATTTTAGATTAAAAAAAAATGTATTTATAGAAAAATGTATTTTTAGATACAACCAAAGTATTTGTACTCACTCAAATGCTTTGAGTGAATCTAAAATTTTCTAGCATTATATAAATTCTTTTTTTTTTCAATCTAAAATTTTCTAGCATTGTATAAATTTATAATTTTTTTCCACATCCTACATGTATTCAAACAATGTTTGTTTATAAAACCCAGGCCCTGAAGATGATCTCAATCTGATATATATANTAGTATGAGTACAAATACTTATATATAATCTAAAATTTTCTAGCATTGTATAAATTCATATTTTTTTCCAAATCCTACATGTATTTGTAAAATTCAAACAATGTTCTTTTATAAATCCCAGGCCCTGAAGATGATCTCAATAAAGATCGAAACGTTGGCACGATAAAGATAACGATTTTCTAAAACCTACGTCACACCAGACCGCATCTCACCATTTCCGAATAATCATTGACTAAAGGCCACTAAACACCATACATTTCTACACTTAAAATATTTAATTAAGAATTAAACATAAAAGTGTTATTTGTACATGAAAGCCATTTGAAAAACTGTTTATGAAGGCAGTAAAACAGAATGGGATCAAAGCTGTTTCTTTGAGAAGGAATTTTCATTAGACGATGAGACTGTTTAAATATTAAATTTGTCGTTAACACTCCAGAGCTAAAGTAAGATAGCAAATTATACCGTATAATCTTACATTTGTTTTATTAACATATAAGTATGTCGAACCGGCTTACTTTGAATCGTGAAATGTTATGAATAAGTAATAAGAAATAATTCCAAATGGAATCTATTATCCTTCTGTATTAGTTACCCGGAATGGACGTTTGATTTGATTGTTGCAACATTTACATTTTAAATGGTCTTTATGATGTGTCAAACAACTCGGTACCGCGATAGCTAAATGTGAATCCACCGGGCCGTGTTATATATGCAAATTCAGTCGCCTCCTGTTTTCCCTCAGATTCCAGGCGAAGACGGAAAATCGTGTCATCTCTTTAGGACAGTTTAATGTAAACCGAGGGAAAAAGGTCGGATGGTGCACATGAGGAGTGAGCAGTAGCCGAGGAGTCGGAAGTGGTCATTCTTCAACGTACATCACTCAAAATAATTTCATGGCAAAGAGTATCTTTTTATTTTTTCCCAACATCAATTTATCTCACCGGAAATAGGTCAAAAAGGCACAGAAAACTTTCAGGTGTATTTGACTATTTTAGATTCTATCTACACCTGTTGAAGTCACGACAGATAAGGTCGTAAAAAGTCTTTAAGAGAAAGCATTAACATCCGAGACGTCCTGTACACTTGTTTGACTACATTAACATAATGCAAAAGGTCCAAAGGTCTTTTTCTTTTCCGCCTCAAACTACATCGTTATGGGAATTTACATTCAGAACGGACTGAATGTATATTGACCTAAATATTCCCACGGTATATTAATTTTAATTGGATTGAAAATTTTGCTGTGAATAAAGGCAAATTCTACCTCTTTTACATGGCAAATACAGTTTGTACTAATATTTATCTATTTGTACTTTATTGCTTTGCTTGGAGATGAGTTTGTTTGTCTCTCTCCTTCACTCTCACTTTCTGTTTTCTTTCTTTTGTGTAACTATTTATTTACGTTTAACTCTGTGATCTGTGTTTCTGTTCTCTCTCTCTATGTACCAACGTTTATATATATTTTCACTATTTTTATGTCTATATCTACTTGTGTCATGTGTGTTTTTCTAGGTTCTCTTTTTGTGTGCATTTATACCCTCTGTGTAAGACTCTGTTCTTATTTTCAACTTTATTTCTCTTTTACGCTCATTTTCTCTCTCTCTCTCTTTCTCTTTCTTTCTTCTTTCTCCTTATGTCACCTACTTTCCCTCTCTGTCGACTTTTATCGCCCGATCGCCCGCCCTCTCACTTCATTTCATTATTTTACTCTCTCTCTCTCTCTCTGTCTTCCTTTCTGTCTGTCGGTATCTCTCTTCCTTTTTTTCTGTCTCTCAAACACTTTCTCTCTCCCTCTTCCTTTCTTTTCCCTCTCTCACTTTCTTTCTCTTTCTCCTATGTTACCTACTTTTCCTCTCTGTCGACTTTCATTCGCCGCCCTCTCTCTCTCTCTCCCCGTCTTCCTTTCTGTCTGTCGGTATCTCTCTTCCTTTTTTTCTGTCTCTCCCACATTCTCTCTCTATCTCTCTCTCTCTCTCTCTCCCCGTCTTCCTTTCTGTCTGTCGGTATATCTCTTCCTTTTTTTCTGTCTCTCCCACACTTTCTTTCTCTCTCTTACTCTTTCTTTCTTCTCTCTCCTTATGTTGCTTACTTTTTATCTCTGTCGATTTTCATTCGCCGCCCTCTCACTTCCTTTCATTCTTTCTTTTTTCCTCTATATCTTCCTTTCTCTCTCTCTCTTCCTTCCTTTCTTTCTGTTTGTTGGTCTCCCTCTTCCTTTCTTTCTTTTCCACTCTCTCTCTTTCTCTTTCTTTCTTCTCTCTCCTTATGTTACTTACTTTCACTCTCTGTCGACTTTCATTGGCCACCCTCTCATGTCCTTTCATGTTTTTACTCATTCTCTCTTTTTCCTCTCTCTCTCTCTCTCTCTCTCTCTCTTCCTTTCTGTCTGTCGGTATCTCTCTTCCTTTCTTTCTGTCTCTCCCACTCTCTCTTTCTATCTCGTCCTTTCTATCTTTCCTCTCACACATGGACAGAAAGTCACAGAAACACACACACTCTCAATCTCTCCTCCTCCTTTCACTCTCTCTCTCTTTCTCTATATATACATTTATCATCTATCTATTTATTTATTTCTCCGCATTGTATTGTTACCTTATTTGTCCAACTTCTCTCTATAAGTTATATAAATTTAATCATGTTTTTTAGAAGAGAGTTGATTATTTTCACAAAAACGTAGATATATTTATGACACATGGATGTTGGTAATTTCGCCAATTTTATCATCGAATCATTCACTAACACCAGATCCCAATTGCATTACTGTAGAAAATAATTTATAATTGTGATTAAACTTTATTTTAAAAGCTGGTTTCGTGAATGCCATTCCATTTTAAGCACGCAAGTGCACTACAAGGGCCATGCTTTGTCAAGATACTTGCTAAAATTTGTGCAACATTACCCTCAAATTTGCAGCTTTTCCGACTTAATATGCTGTCTGAAACAATTCTACACAGATTGTTGTTGTTTTTAAATTGTTGTAGATGATACAATAGTGGAATTTGAAAAAGAGTACACGAATTGGCACTTAAATCCGCAAATTATGCAATGTTGTAAAAACATGTTTGTTACTTGTTAAACAGTCAGGTTGCATTCCAATCCATGCAATTGAAGTTTCTGTCGTTTAGAAATATTATTCAATTTTTAATTCTAGTTTATAGCAATTTATTACACACCTAGCTTAAAGGCATATACAAGTTAGGAGTACCATTGCAATTAACATGTATATAACTTTTTTGTTATTAAAAACGTGTTTTTAAATTATGTGTAGTAAGTATTAGGATAGATAGGTCAGCAAGTTTGGCAAAGTGGTTACAAATTATACAATTTAAGAATATGCGAATCTATTCGAGGCTCTTGCGTTTTTGTGATAATTTCTTTTTCACCGGTTTAGTTACGAGAAATCGCGAATGACCTTTTCAAATGAGAAATCCAGTTCCCATTCGAGGATAATCTCTCCGAAAATCGAATTTGTGTGCGTGAAGAGCTGGCCGATTGAATCGTGTCGAGACGAAGATCGTCTGACATTTTCCCAGATGTCCCACCCCCCTGCCAGACAATCGCTTTTCCGGGAAGTTAGACTATACGTGAACGTCAGTTTTATTATTAGGCATGGAATGACTGTTTATCGGGAAAATATCGCCTTGGCATTGCCAGGCTTCGATCCTCCGTTTTACGAGGGGGAAAACTAATTGAAACGAGATTCGATGGAAACGACGTTGGGAAAATAACAGAAAACCCTGTTTTTGAAAGAAAGGAACAATGCTATAATCATTAATTATTAAAATAATATAATTGCTTTTATTCTTGTTTTGCGCAAAATTACCTTGAGATTTCCTGTTGAGTATTCTTCTCTCCTTCGACCGTGAAGGGAGAAGCACCAGTCAAAAGTTCATATGTCAGCACGCCGACACTCCACCAATCCACTGCCTGTAAAATATACAAATTACGTTATAATTACGTGTTTATTAAATATACAGAATTCTATATCAAAAAAATGAAAATAAATATATAAATAAGTCAAAATTAGACGGTGTTGTTCTCGACTGCTGTTCTTTTTTTTTCCCAAGGTTCTTTTTTTTACCAGATCGTAACTTTTACCCGATTAATTATTTAAATAATCCATTATATTTAGTGGTCTGATTGACCAAATAACTTCTTTCAATTAATTAATGTTTTTATGTAAGGTCTTGGTTGAAATGAAAAAGTTAGTGTCACGCGCCGGATACGAACCCCCAGCCGAAGGTCGTCCCAACTTTTTCATTTCAACCAAGACCTTACATAAAAATACTTAAATAATATATTTCAATAATTTTAAGCCATGATATTATAATTTTATATCAAAAAATCAGGAATAAGGCCAATTTTATTGTAAGGCAATTTAATGGCCCTTCAAATTGGCCTTTTCCCTGATTTTTGATGGACAATTATATCAATAATATTCATAGAAAATATTGCTATTTTATGTTAGAATTATACATTTCTAATAGTGCTAATAAATTGTTTGTTGAACGTCAGTTCGTGAGAAGTGAAAACAATGGCAATCCTCCAGAACAAGTGTGGCCAACCTTTACCCAACTAGTTCCACTGAAACGAGCACAAATCCTCAGCCCAATTTAGCAAGCGTACAGGGAATTTAACATCAACAAACTTGACTATTTTAAAGCCCTCACATATCAGAATATTAACAAAGTTGAAATTGTTTAAAGAAGTCAATAATTAAAAATATTAATTGAGAAACATCACGCCAACTCTGATCACCGTGGTCAGACTTCTCGCGTTATTTTATCAATCATGTCCCGTATCGCGGAAGGCAGAACAGAAAGACTGGGATGATCATAGACGATCAGACTTAAGAATTGTCACAATTATTCAGCCAAGCCTTTTTAAATTTAGTTGAGACACAATTGTAGGAAAAATACAATTTCAATCGAGTCAATTTATAAAACTGGATCAATCTCGAGACTCAACCAAACCGTGTTTTTTTTTGTTAAACTTTCATTACTCTGTTTTGTAAATAGTCAGGTGCTCTGGAGAAATCTCGGTTCAATCGGCGATACGGTAAATCTTAGGTGCAATTTATACGAAGTAGGTAAGAAACCAACGGTCTCCAGGCCAGAGAACCGCTTAAAAATTGAGCGGCTTCTTCGGAAATTTAATGTTACCAACAAGTTGCTTTACTTTTAGTAGTTTTAAAAGTATACAATAGTACTCCACCTTTATATACTGCACTATGATTTATTAATTTTTTTTTCGAATTTTAAATAACTGGCAAGAAGATCAAATGTCATGACTGCCTCGGAATATATTGTGATTGTTAAAATAAATCATAATTGAGACACCATAGTGACATCATAACCGCCGTATGATCACCTCTGATCATCATCAATTGGTATGTGCGTTATTTTGTCAGATAAGTTCCCGGTCGGCGCCAGAAAGGCATTACAGATTAGCATGATTGATTGCTTTTTAATTTTGTATGTTTATGTATGTTTCACATACATATTTTTTATATGTTGATATATGCTTATATTATTAACCTCGATATTTTTGCTTTTCAACTTAATTAGCTTTTAAATTTTTTTTTCTAAAACTTCATGTTCAAAATTGGAAGTTGTATGTTTTTGTATGTCGTGTTTTTATAACTTTACTCTGTTTTGGTTGAAATGTGTAAATTTTCATAGGTTGTAAAATATTGCGCACTTTTCCGCTTATAAGTTTCATATTATTTAAGTGTTTTGTCATTCATTGCAATATGCAAGATTTTTCTGTTAAAAAATATTAAATAAAAATATCAATGTTCTTGTTTTTGTTTTAAAGGGATACTCTCACGCGTTTGGAAGAGTGAAAACAACGGATTCTTGTCGTAGTAAACAAGTTCAAAGACAACAAATTATATCTATTACCAAAAACAAACTTAATTATTTTCTTGAGGTCATACTTTATTTTTAATTAAATTGTATAAATAATTCTTAAACATAAACATAAACAACATAAATTATAATTATTTACCTTATATTTCGTAGGAAATGTACAAGAAAGCAGCGACTTGCCAACCGTGGTTAAGGACAAAAAATATAAACCGCAATGCCACAACCTTCTTTATAAGATAATTTTATCACTTTTCAAAACGAAGGCCGTTCGCAGATTCTCCGCCGGCTTTTATGCCCAAATGCGTGGAATTACATGGATTCAGGATGAAAACGGGTCGTCAACACCCGACGAGAAAAACATCCTGGTCCTCCTTTTCATAACAGTGGCTGCCATGAGATGTTTATACCAAAAGAAAAGAAGCGACCTCCATTTCCACAGGTGATCCCCGTGACACCTACTGCGATGTAAATATTTTAAAAAATTCTTCTAGAACTCTTTTATTTCTTTAGTTAAAGCACTAAAATGGTGATGTTGGTATAGCTTCAATATCAGGCTTTGAGACCCTCGAACGCTCGGCTTCTGCTATTGACAAGAGCGATATCCCACTTAATTTGGTCGGGCACGTGCCCCCATCGCCTATGCTTCCGATCACTCCTTGAAAGACGCCGAGAGAGTTTTAATTTAAGAAATCGAAAGTCGGCTTATTGACCGGAAAGGTATTCGGGCTTGAGAACTGCCAACCTTTAACTTTTATCAACAAATTAGCGAAATCTTCGAATAACAGAAATTCCAATACTTATCACAGAAAGGGAAAAAGATAAAAAAAGAAAAAAGAAAAAGAGAAAGATAAACTCGAGAATATTTTCTCTCTCTTTTTCTAGTATTGATTACAATGGTATCTTCGTTTAGACTTCGTATGAAAAGGCAAGGCTTTCTATTTCACTCCCCAACTTATACACGAATTTTAAAATTGGTAACATTGTGATACTAGTGTTGTGTTTTCACATATATAAAACGTCTTATCAAACACGAAATTGTTTCATCGATTTTATTCGTTTGTATGTCTTTTTTCTCCCATCAATTTGACAGTATAAAATGTTTTAAAACCTGAGAATGTTTACCCGTATTACAATGTAATAATGCGCGCGCGCGCGCGTGTGTGTGTGTGTAGGAAAGGGATAGATAGATAGATAGAGAGATAGGAAGAGAGAAACAGAAAAAGAGAAAAATTGAGAAGAAGCGAGAAAGAGAGGGTGAGAAAGGGAAAAAGCGAGAGAGTGATAGAGAGAGAAATAGAAAAGGGGGAAGGAGGGAGAATGAAAGAGTGTTTGAGAGAGATAGAGGGGGAGAGAGTGAACTTCTTCTAACTGTAGAAAAAATAGGGGGAGGACTAGATTAATAGATAGATAGATAGTTAGACAGACAGACAGACAGATAGATAGATAGATAGGTAGATAGATAGATAGAGAGAGCGAGAGAGAGTGAGAAGGAAGAGAGAGAGAGAGAGGGAAAAGAGAGAGAGAGAGTGAGAAGGAAGAGAGAGAGAAAAGAGAGAGAGAGAGACAAAAGAGAGAGAGAGAGCGAGAGAGAGAAAAGAGAGAGAGTGAGAAGGAAGAGAGAGAGAGTGAGAAGGAAGAGAGAGAGAGAGAGAGAGAGAGAGAGAGAGAGAGAGAGAGCGAGCGAGAGAGAGACAGGCTGAAGAAGAAAAAGTCATACAGTCTTCACAGAAAACAAGCCGCCTTAAGAATCCCTCAAAAAAAATTATGCTTAATTATCATGCCTCAATTTAATACACGATTCAATTCTATAACTAGACCAATACGAATAAATATAAGTTCATACAGGGGACTTGAGAGAGTTCTTAGATGGAAAACCGAGTCACAGGGCCACAAAGGCTAACCAATTCATTATTCAACACTAGCACAACTGGGGGCGATAGAGCTTCGAATATCTCCACGACGTACTGAAATGTATTTGTACGCCCCTTTTTATACACACTACCTAACAAAACGGAATACGACTTTTGTGCCGAACCGGCGAGTCAAACCGAACAAACGGTCTGATTCCCGCCAGTTCAAATATTTGGACACGGGCCGAACCAAAGTCATGTTTGAGCATATCACACTCCTGGCCTGGAGAGAAGAGAACAGCAGACATACAATTGTACGAGAAGCATAGCGATTAGTTTTATACACACACACACACACACACACACACACACACACACACACATATATATATATATTTACATATTTATATTTATAGGTTCTATGAATATCCTATTAACATTTTATCACTGTGCGTTTAAAATATTTGTATATGAAGCTTTTCCTTGTGAATTTCAAAACCGTTTAAGCAATATTTTATCAAGTTTTAAATTTTCGATTAGAATCATTGCCTTTTCCTCGGATTTTTAAATCGTGCACTTCTTAAAATATTTTATGCCGAGTCACCATTCTTCATTAGCGTGACCCAAATGCTGTTAGCGAGTGGCAATAGTTTTGAAACTCATGCCGTGTACACAATATAAAACACTGTTGTTCCGAATTAAGAGTCCAGAGGATAAAAACGGTAGGAGGAAAAATTGCTAATTAACCCCGGAAAGGATTTCGGCCGGTTCCGTTATGCCCCACATGGCCGAGGCATATGCTATGTTCACACGGCATTTAGTCAGCGTTTCTCACAGTCTCCATTCTTGACAATTTCTTTTTCCTTCCTCTTAAAGCTTTAAATAATGTCTGGCGATATCGCAACGATACACTTTCACCCGGCCCACGACGAATCTACCCTCAATTCCGAGTTTTCCTCGACTGCTGCGTTTCTTTCACGCCTCGCTGGCCAAAAACGACAGGGCAAAAATTGGTGATTGTTAACTTCTTTTTTTTTACACTCCCGTCCGAGTAGTTTTTGGATTACGGAATCGTATCGCTTTTCGCGCGTTGAATCAAGTGTAAAAAAAACTCTTCCTCGTATAACAGGATATTCTTGTAAATTAAAAACTAGGGTAAAAACGATTAAAAATGTCCTAAAAATAAATCCTTAGTTTATATTTATAC